GAAGTAGTCCCTCCCATTTTCCCATATATTTACATATATATATATATATATATATATATATATGCTCACTTAAAAATGGCCTGAGGGTGAGGCTGGGGTTGTGGCTCAGCGGTAGAGCGCTCCTTTAGCACGTGGGAGGCCCTGGGTTCAATCTTCATCACAACATAAAAATAAATAAAATAAAGGTATTTTAAAAAATGGCCTGAGGGTGTTGAGACTGTCATACCAGTCAGGGCTTGCTGTCATGACCTGCTCTCTCCACACCCTGGGAGGCTCTTGGTCAGGTCAGGCTCCTCTACGGCCTCCCTCCCTCCACGCTGGCCTCCCTTCCTCTCATAGCAACATGGGTAGGGGCAGAGTAGCTCAGCCTGCTGTCCTCAATTAAACACAGCAGACCGGGGCGCAGCCATGCTAAAAGCGTAATGTTAAAATGTGCCTGTGTTTATATAATTCAAATTGAATCCCCAGCTCTAAGCCCAGCATCACATCTGACGTGGACCTCATTCAGGCATGTGCAAGTCAGCAGCGAGGCCAGCTCATTTTTCAGCCGCTTCTAGTTTGTAATTATTTATTAGATCATGTTTAAGTCCTTCTCTGATGTTTAATGCCACAGCTCCCCACACTCATGGGGTTCCAGCAGATGGGACTCTAAGTGCGGCCTGAACACCACAGGGCACCTCAGTCCTGCTGTCACAGGGCAGGCCAGCACTGGCCGTCAGGACCCACGTTGCCCACTTCATCCTCCAACATCACTCCTGCCGCTGGCACAAGCAGAGCTGTCACTCAGGATCTGGCAGTGGCCACTTTAAGACATGGCTTCAACCAATCCAAAGGGGTGACAGGATAGGCTGAGCTGTGCTCCCCCAAATCCACACGTTGAACCTTGACCCCAAACCCAGGGTGACTGTGTGCAGATGTGGCCTTCTCATCCAGTCTGACTGGTGTCCTCATGAGAAGAGGAGGGACTCTGTGAGGACACGGGGAGACACCGCACACACTCCAAGGAGAGTGGCTTCAGGAGGAGCCAGCCTGCCACACCTGGACCTGGGAGGCCCACGCTCCACTACTGTGAGGGCGAGCGCCCACTGCTCGCGCAGCCCTCTGTGGAGCCCCACTTGCCGAACACTGCCCCTCCACAGCCTGGCCACACAGCCAGTGCAGGCTAGCGCACTCACGCTGGCACGGGGCACCCTCCTCTCAGGACCTGTGGCCCCCGGGGCCCACAGGGGTTTCCAAGTGTCTTCTCCTGCAGCTCAGGACCATCCCTCTGCCCTGGCCCTCTCCTGCCCTGTAGGGAAGTCCTGTCCACTCCAGCCACCCAGGAAAGACAGGTTTCGTATACTCTTGAGCCAATAAGAAGCAGGTTCTGCTGGGGCACAGAGAACTTAGGACATCAAGGGGAGTCTTCCCACACCCCCCTCCTGACTGCCACCGCCCCTCCAGCAGTCCTCTCCCCTCCAACACAGGTGTTTCAAGCAGGTGGAGGGGGAGGAAGGGCACTAGTCTGGAGGAGCCGGCTCTCATGGTAGTCTCCACCTCTGCCTTCCACCTGAACTCTAGCAGCTGGGCAACTCGAACTGACCCATTCCCCGGAGGTCAGCTATCTGCGGTTCAGAGAGAGTGCCTAAGGAAAGAACACCTTGGCAGGGCTCACCCAAGCCTGGGGCTCAGCCATCCTGGATATGGTATGCTTGCCACCCACTAAACACGGGAGCTTGCAAGGCTGCCCAGCCAGAAGTTCCCCAGTCACAGGAGGCACCCAGCAGGCCATGGCTGGCTCAAATGAAAAAGTGGGGGGGTGAAATACTCAGGGAAGTTAAGAAGCCCCAACCTGCTCCTGGGCATCTAGAAGGCCACATGTCCAAGAATGCCTGAGAAGGCCCCAAGTTCTCACCTCTGACCTTGAGAAGGAAAAGGAGGCCAAGACAGAGTGCACACTGAGCCGTCAGCTGGGCCTAGGAGACCGGCTGCCAGGTACCTAAGGAAGCAGCTGTCCAGCGGCTAGCTGACCACAGAGCTGGCCAACCTTATGGTCACGTAACAGAATACACTTCACAGAATCGGTTCAGAGGAGTCACAGGACAACACAACAACTGGCAGCCAACTGCTGGGACGCAGTTGAGGAGCAAGTGTCCTCGCCAAGAGAGTCCTGTCCTGGGGGTCCACCTGGGCCACCCTTGGTGTATGGAAGACCTAGTGTGTGCAGAAGGGGCGTGGATGCTGTGTGGCCAAACAGGGTGCGTACCAATCATCGACACCCCACCCTCCCTTCCTTGCCCAGCCTCTGATCCTCGAGCTGGGCCCGGCTGACCACCTTGTTCCCTTCCCCTCGCTGGGTTCTGTCAACAGAGGGGCTGCAGGAAGCATCCAGGTTGGGTGGGTGTTCCTTCCTCCTGGGCTTTGCTTTCCAGGTGGTGGTGGGTGGATGGCATACGGTGGTCCTGAGATGTCCCTCTGGATGACAGTTCCTCCTTGGCAGCCGGGCCCTCCACCCTCCCAGCACTCAAGTCACTACCGTGCAGCCATGCTGCTCCTCAGAGCTCCATTCGGCCCTCCAGGGCCTTCTCCTTTAAGGGTCCGCATCTCTTCCTGGTCGCTTCTCCAAACTCAGCCCTCTGCATGCCTCTGGCCTTAGCAAGCTCCTCCCTCCCTCAGCAGCGGCCCACCTTCCCCAGGTTTTTATACTGCCCTCCCCTGTTCAAGCTCTCTCCTGGCTGGACCAGACTGACTCAGCCTACGCTGTGCACTATGATGCTCTCTAGCCACCGCGGCCCCCACAGGAACTCACGGCAGCTAAACCTGGCCGCCTGACGCGTCCACAGTCTCCAGCATCTCCGCCTTCCCTTCTCTAATTCCTCTTGCTCTTCCAATGTCCAGGCCCTTGCTTCAGTCCCCGGCTTCTCTTCTGCTTCTCCTGCATCTGTGGTGGCCTCACTATAGGAGCCGGTCACTACCACCTGCTGGAGGGACATCAGGACCCATCTGATGGCCACCCTATTACCCCTGGAAGCTTCCCCACTGGGGGGCTGTGGGAATAGACCACACTGATGACATGAAAAACCCACTTAGCAAAGTGGAAGGCACAGACACATGGGGAAAGTACAGCAGAGCCCAGCTGGATACGGTGGGATGGCAAACCAGACCCGGCTGTGAAGTGGACTTATAAAATGTGACGGTGAGAAACCAAAGCCTGGGAAGGAAGAGCCCAGTTCCCCTCCCCTCTCTCAGTCTTTCTCCAGAAAGTCTGATTGACCAGGTCCCTACCTTTTGGGTTGTAAATAACTTCCCCTGGGAGTCTGACTACTACCCTCTGAAGTGTAAGCACACCTGTGGAGGCTCCAGGCTAGGGGCAACGCAGGAGCAGCCAGTTCTTCCCCTTATCCCACTCTGTAAACAGGCTTCCCACTAGAAACCCCATGCACAACCATATAGCAGGTAGACTAGAACATTACGACTCTAGACAGCCTATAAATGTTGTGAGAAACTGCGGATGGGACGTCAGAATTTGGAGTTTTGTTTTCCTCTGGGTCAGCAGGAGTTCTCCTCCTCTCTGAGAGGTGCATGCCCCTTTCGACCAGTCCGCTTCACCAAACAACAGGGCATTTCTGCTGTGGCCAGGCCAACTGATCCTATTGCTTCACAGCAGGGCTGTCTTCGGGGGTGGGGGGTGACTTGCCAGCACTGAACTGCCACCCGGCGGTGGGCAAGCCTCTCAACATTCATGACGCTTCACTTCCTTGCCAGTAAAATGGAAATAAAGCCACCTGCTTGATGGATTAGAGAACTCCTGCCAAGGTGAGATCAGGCACTGGTGCTGTCGTAAAGCAGTGGGCACTGTGCCCGAGTCCAGCACTGATGCCCCAGCTCCCCAGAGGCACTCCATCCTCCCGCCTCAGTCCAGCCTGGGCTGTGGCTCCCCACTTGTCCAAGGCAGCTGGCTCAGTGGGGACAGACTAGAAAGATTCCCAACTGGCTGACCTCCCTGAGCCTCAAGGGTCAGTCAGTTCACTTGCTAACCAGACAAGGACACATGTGTCTCCCAGGCATCCCGAGGACCGTAAACCAGGACCGTAAATCATGCAAAGCACGACACTGTCCTGTGCTTAGGCCACCCCGCTTCGTGTGATGTGTGCAAGGGCACCACCGCCACAAAAAGCCAGGCGGGTCTGGGTGTCTCTCTCGCTTACACAAGAACAATGGAGAACATGTTCTTAAATATGTGCCCAAGAGACCACCAACATCCCATCTCAAGTGAGTTTCCAGTCCCTGACCTCCCGACCCTCCCAGGGAGAACAGCCCCCGAGGCCAGCCCTAGGAGTGCTTCTGCAAGGAAGGCAGAGGACACCTCCTTGAGAGTCCCATCTGGGGTTCCGAGCTGCCAGGGACCGGAAAACACAAGACCCCCACTAGAACAACCTATTAAACATGCATTTCATTTTAGTTTTAGAAAATAAAAAGAAAAGAAATCAGGTTGAAAATCCATGGGACTACAACAGGTTTTCTTTAAAAAAAAAAAAAAAAGTCTGTCCTCAGACACACTAGCATTCCCCACAGTCACTCTCGGGGGAGGTAAAACTACAGGAGAGCCAACGTCTCCTTCAATAAAGTATTTCATAACAAGAAAATCCCAAGGGCTGGAGGGGACTCAGGTGAGAGAACAACATCCCATCTCCAGGGTGGCACCCCAGCCAGGCCTCCGCTCCACGCCTGCTCTGGCTCCAACCAGCCAGGAGCCCGCAGAGGGTTTCAGCAGAGAGAGGAACAGGAGGAGGGCCTTGCCCAGGCTGAGAAGTCACCTTCCCTCTCATGCCACTTGCTGACCAGGCTCAGGGCCCAGGCAGCAGGAGGATGAGAGCCGTGGAGAGCCAGGGCTCCTGGGCAAGGCAGTCTGCCGCCTGAGGCGGAGCGAATACGCTGTGGCACCTGCCAGAGGCTGCGGGATATGAAGGCCCAGTTATGCCACCAAGCGTATCTGACCTGCACTACCCCGGCAGGCTTACCTTTTTGTCTTCTTTGCTCCTTCTAACATTTCTATGGGGCCCAAAAATGTTTTGCATTCCAAAGGTCTTCCTGGGCCAGTCCCTCTTCTGGGAGCTCAGTGGGGCCTGCGTGAAGCTGCCTTCCACCCGGTATCGGTCTGCGGGGATCTTGCTCATGGGAGGGGGCAGTGTTCCACAGTTGACACTGGACCAGCCATCCGTAGAATCTGTGTATGACTCCTGGTCGCTGGCATGCCCACACTGCCACTCCTGGAGCACATGGACCGGAAGCCACCGCTGGCTCAGACCACAGCCAGCACCGACAGCACCCCTCTTGGAAGGAGGGACAGAACTCCGCAAGGAGGCTGGGGGCACCTCCATGTGAGAGGGTGGGCCTAGATGCTTGTTTAAGTCCCAGAACCTGTCGGTCTGGGGACCAGCCTCAAATGGGGAGACCGCCTCAGGGTCACGGCAGAAGGCCCCATTCCAGGGCACACCCCAGGGCTGAGAGCCCCTCCCGCCTGCACCCTCCCACCCAGGGCCACTGCCCGGGCTGTGCCTGCTCGAGCTGGCACCCAGGTCTACCACGAGCACCCGGTTACTCTTCTCTTCCTGGTTGAAATTCCCAATGCCGCTGTCACTGTTGCTGCTGGTGCTATTGTTCTGGTGAGCATCAGCGTCCCCGTCCAGGAAAGCCCGGGCCCGCACACCCTCGATCAGCTCGCCCATGTCTCGGTATAGGACAGAGATGAACTGGAGCACTGGAAGTGAGGACGCTGGGAACTCCAAACAGCCACTGGTGTCAGGGTCGGCCGTGCAGGCAAACCCAAACCGCCGCGCAATGCCTTGGTGGACCTTGTGATGAAATAAGTCTGGGTCCACCATGAACACGTGGCAGGACGTCCGCAGGGCACCCTCCTCCTCCTGCACCAGGCTCCCGTCATCACTGGTCTGCATGGTCACCAGCCCAAAGAACCGCCTGTCGTCTGGGCACACAGCACTGAAGGCCAGCTTCTCAGCTGGGTACTCGGCCACCACACTGGCCTTGTCTGTGCACAGCTGCACACAGTCCTGCATGACCTTCATCGTCACCAGAGAGTGGATCTTCTGCTCTGCCCGCAGGCGCCGCATGCAACCACGGATGGCCTGCAAGCTGTCGTACTCCAGGTTGGAGCTTGTGGAAGGGAGCTCGATGGAGCCTAAGTAGCCCACCACCATGGCCACGTTTAAAATACTCGCATCCAGCCCAAAGTCATCGTGACCCCCTAGTCCTACGCTGAAAACCGAGTCGTCCTTGATGACTTTTGACACTTCCTCCTTGGAAAGCATGCTGGGACGCGGTGCACTCAGTGCCTCGAAGCCTGGGTCCAATCGTGAGGCGGCAGACTCCGACAGGGACCTTTGCTGGAGTTTCAAGGGCTCTGAACCACTTGCACAAAGACTTGGATTTTCAAAAATCATATTGAAAATCCCACCCGACTGCATTTCCTCCACAACTCTCTCTGCCCTGTTGATACCTAATGCCTTAGAGTCAAGTTTGGGCTTCAGCCAACCTTTCCCCTCATAAAGTCCACCCTCCTCATCACTGGAGCAGGACTCCAGGTGGCCGACGCCCTCGCCAACCACCATGCGCAGGACACCAGAGCATTTCCCGATCAACTTCACCACGTCCTCGTGAGAGGCTTTTCTCACGTTGATTTCATTGACAGCAAATATCTGGTCTCCAGCTCGGAGGCCAACGAAGTCGGCGGGGCTGCCCCTCATGACGCAGCTGAGCACACAAGGCGCCTGTCCTGAGAGGGTGAACCCGTAGCCGGCTCTGCCACGGGCGACCTCCACACTCCGCACGCGCCTCCCTGGCTCGCCAGCCCTGTACATCCTGAGGCACTCCCAAGACGGACAGCATGTCGCTAAGCCGGGGGATCCATGCTTCAGGGGTGCTCGAGGCTACCACATTTCCTCTTAAGACAAGGCCCTAGGAGGAAAGAAAACACTCGTTATCAGCAGGCCATCGCCACCACCGAGGAAGAAAGAGTCCACAAGGAACGCCCGCCCGGCTGCCACGCGAATCCCACAGGAGGGAGCAGCAGAGTTCACGCCGCTGCACCTCAAAGCGGGACTGAGGGCTGGGGTTGTGGCGGTAGAGCACTCGCCTGGCATGCGCGAGGCCCTGGGTTCGATCCTCAGTACCATATAAAAGTAAATAAATAAACAAAATAAAGGTATTGTGCTAACCAAAAAAAAAAAAAAAGCCGGACTAAGAACCCTCCCTTCAGCTGTGAAGTGCCTCCCAGGGGTGACCCCTGAGGAGGTTCGTGCAGGACTCCACAGATTAGCCCCCCACATGTAGGTCGGGACAGAAACAGGCCCCACTGCACATTCCCAGGAGCCACCGCGGGCCATGTGTGACCAAGGGTGCCCGTTGGGTGGCAGAGATCAGCTGAACAGCAGGGCTGTCCTGGGGTCAAGGCACTAAAGATGGCTCCACCCAACATTTGATTTGCTCATGAATCCCCTCAAAGCATTTCCCTCAGGAGACAGGGTCACTTATGTTCTCTCATATCCCACAATCCTCCCACAATTAACTTTTTTGAACAAAGTGTTGTGTGCAGAAAACACATTAGTTTGAAACAACCTCAATTTATAAAGCTACAGAGGACACTCAACAGAAGAGATAAAACAACCACCCAAAACAAGCAAGGAAATGTAATGCTAATTTAATTATTCCAGGGCAGGACTTCATCACTCAAAGTACTGCATATCACTGAAAACAAATCTGCGTCAGGGTCCCCAGACCACCCAGGGCCAGTGGCCACCAGAACTCCCAGGCCTCAGCACAAAGGCACACGCACAGCTATGACTCACTACAGCAAAAGGGCTCCAAGCAAAATCCACAGCAGGAGATGGCATGAGGCGAAGTCCAGGAGCCCAGATGAATGTCCAGAGTCCCCTCCTGGGGGAGGTTGGGGACGTGCTTGACTCCCCAGCAAGGAGCTGTGACGGCAGGTGTGTAAGTGCCAACCAGGGAGCCCAGGAGAGACTCAGTGTCCAGGGAGTTCACTGGGGCTGGTCCCCTGGGCACCTCGGAGGGTCTGTGCCAAACCTCCAGACTCCCAGAAGTGGGGCAGGCGTCAGCATAAACCTCACCATCTACACAGACCGCTGAGGTACAGGGGCCTCTCATCAGTCAGGGTGCAGAGGCCAGCTGGGAGCCAGCCTGCATGCCTGTTCTCAATGTATCTCAGCCGCCATGAGGACTCTCCACCGCACCAGACCCTTTAAAACCAACACAGCCAGTGGCTACCTTGTGAAGCTCCAGAATACAACATGGTACATGACTTAAAAATCTGTTGTTAGAAGGGATTCTTGTGTTTGGGGATAAAGTTTCCTGTAACAGAGTCATAAACAGAAGCTGGGAGCCAGCTGAGGGTGGAAGAGCATGATCAGATGCTTCCAGGAGCAGCCTCTGGTGACAATGGACTCTCAGGATGCACCTCTGAACAAAATCATTTTTTGAAATGTATGTGTGAAAAAAGCAATTTATTTACAAATACTGTATTATTTAATATCCAAATGGTGCTAAATTAGTAATTTAAATGTTAGGACTAAGCATTTAACTGACTGGTATTCATCAGTAAGAACATACCTACTGGGGCTGGGGGTGTGGCTCAGTGGCAGAGGACACAGCAGCCACAAGGGCCGAGGTTCCAGCCCTAGGAACAGAAAAAAAGAAAAAGAAAGAAGATGGAAGAAGAAATAGAGAAGCTAACAAATTTAGTAAAGTTATCAATAAGTGTGTTGAGGACTCTTTGCTGGATCCTTTTAGGGGTGCAATAGCTGAATAACGTTCCCCAATAGGTCCACATCCTAATGTCCGGTGCCCATGCACATCCCCTCCCATGGCAACGGGATTTGCAGATGCAATCAAGTGAAGGTCTGAGATGGGGGACCCCCCTGATTATTCAAGAGGCCCCATGTAATCCCAAGGTCTCCATGAGGGGAGTCAGAGGGCCCATCAGAGGACAGGCAGACGGAGGGATCTCAGGATGGGCCCGGCCAAGGGATGAGGAGCCCAGCCCTGCCCACACTAACTCCAACCTGGTAGGACTGAGCTGGGACCTGAGGAGAGCACGTCTGTGCTCTTCAGCCACCAGCTAAGCTGCGCTGTCTCGGCACCTGAGGGGTGGGAACAGCATACACAGCCTCCTAAAACATCCCAGAATCCAGTCGACCCACGGCAGACACAATACGCCAAGGCCACTGCCGCTCCCAGGGTGACTGCAGTTTGGTCACTGGCGCACACTGCTCATGGCCACACACTCTGTGACCACAGCCTCACCTCATCCAGGGACAGGAGGCCTATTCCTTCTCTACCAGACTACAAGAGTCAACTGAGCAGAGAAGCCATCGGACCTGAGGCACAGGGTGCCGTCAGCTTCCCTGGTCCCTCCCCTCAGCCTGGCCCAATCAGCACAGGAGCTATCAAGCCGGTTTCTCCAACTGGGACCCGTGTCCCGACCACCATCCAGCAATGGTCAAAGCTGCTGACCCTGGCCATCTACCCAACACCCATAGGGCAACACACAAACACCAGGAAGACATACACCTGTCCCCAGGGACATACCACACACAGAAGACACTGACCATCCCTGTGTCCAGCCACCCTGTCCCCTACCACCCCATCTAGCAGCTGGATCCTAACTCCAGGTCCCTGGGCCATCCTGAAGAGCACTATTGAGGCCCAATCTCAATCCCTACCCGACAGGTCTGTCTGGCCCAGCTAGACCTGACCACCAGGTCATCTTCAGGAGGCCACCAGGAGGATGCCAAGACACAGCAGGACATGGTGCCAAAGGGGATGATCTGGCAGATTCTTAAGTCTCAGGACAGGCCCCAGCCAAGGGATAAGGAGGCCACTTCCAGGCCATTTAACTGTCATTGATATTCAATGCCTTCTGCATACTTTTATCCCTTCAAACACAAATACCTGCATCAGACAGTCCTGTTAAATCTCCCGGGGACCAGCTCCTTGGCCACACATTCCCAATAGCAGACTTGCCACCTACCATACAATGGTGTTACTAAGCCAGGCCTGGGGCTGCAACATGAAGAACACAGTCCCTCCCTACAAAGACCTCTCAGCCCAGACAAGAAACCCTGGAGGCAAGTGACACTTCTGACCCTGAGGGAAGAACCAGCCCACCCACCTGCTTCTGACCCTTCTGCAGGTCAGCAGAATCCCCATTTCCCCAGACAGAGCAGCCCAGCCGTTCCCAGCCCCCCACTCCACCCACCCAAGGCCTGTCCCCTGCTCCTACCCTCAGGGACCACCTCCCCATGGCCCAGGAGTCTTCTAAGCTCCAACCCTGGTGCTGCTGCCCCCTTGCTGTTACCTCATCAGGCATCTACACCAACACCTTATGCCAGAAGCACCCTGCCCCTGGCTGGGGCCCTGCCTTGCAGCCCACCCCGCCCAGACAGCTGCCTCCTCACTCGGGAAGCCTCCCACCTCTGGACCTGTCCTCTGCTCATGGCCACACACTCTGTGACCACAGCCTCACCCTACTTGTGCGCTTTCCTGTGACCATCTGAGGTCCCTACTGACCCTTTCACTTCTCCCACTCTAAGGCCCCCTTCACCCAATCTAGCATCCCTCCCAGGCATCAGCTAGGAACACTGCTACCCACCCCATGTCCCTCACACCCACCCAGGACACCCCAACCTGTAGGAACTGACCATGGCTTTTCCCAGTCCTGCACTGAGCAGATATTGCTGTGGGGCATCTGGCCAGTGGGCCCTAGGTTCCCTCTGAAGTCACTCTCTCACCCCATCAGCCTTATGGCCTTTCTCTGTTCTCCTCACAGCAACATGAACCCTGTCCAACCTCCTAAATCCAGTCTCCCTGCCCTTCCCATGCCACCTGCCGCCACCTCCTCCCCGTCTTACTGCTGCTCCTGCTCTGGTGGGCTTCTAGCATGGGGCCCAGCTCTCCCATTGCTTGGGGGGGTCTTGGCACCCAAGGCCAGTTTTCCCTCAGCGTATCTCCTGCCAGCACACAGCACAAATGAGTCCAAATGCTCCCTCCCTGGTGTTCCCATGGATGATGGTCATCTTCCCAGAGAGAGGAAGGCACCAGCCCCTGGGAAGTCCCAGAGAGCACTCCCCAGCCTAAGCACACGCAGATGCAAGAGGACACAGCCTCCAGAAGAGGCCATCCTGGACTGAGGATGTAGCTGGAAGGTAAAGGACTTGCCTGGCATGCATGAGGTCCTGAGTTCAACTCCCACTACAGAGAGAGAGAGAGAGAGAGAGAGAGAGAGAGAGAGAGACAGAGAGAGAGAGAAAATAAGTATTGCTGGACACAGTGGCACACACCTGGAATCCCAGCGACTTAGGAGGTGAGTTCAAAGCCAGCCTTACAATTTAGCAAGGCCCTAAGCAACTTAGTGAGGCCCTGTCTCAAAGTTAAAAATAAAAAGGGCTGGGGATGTGGCTCAGTGGTAGAGCACTCCTGGGTTCAGTCCCCAGGACCAAAACAAAAAAGCCAAGAGGCCTCCAGACAAGAAGCCAACGCAGCAGAGACCACCTGATCCAAACACAGGGCAGGAAGGTCACAAGCACACACAGGCTGGGGTGCAGCTCAGGAGGTGAGGTGCTTGCTTTGCACACACAAGGCCCGGGTTCAACCACCAGCACCACAACATTAAAAAAAAAGGCACAGCCCAGAGCCAGGAGTGGGGGACATTACAGAGAGACAGGAGACCAAGGGGACCAACCTGGGAGTTCCTGGGAAGGAAGGCATCTGTTCACCTAGAAAGGTGGTCAGAGGGCTCCCCAAACTGGGAAGGGAGGTGTGGGCTGTCTGATTTAAATTGAGGTTATGTGCTGAATACAGAATTCTCCCTGGGAACCTGGCAGCAGCCAAAATTAAAGCCAGTTTCTAGCATTTGGTAGGATATTTGACCTCATTTGACT